TTTTGTCACATAACTACAGACTAAATTCACGAATCATAACTTTCTTTAGCGATAAACAGCTAGAATTATCAGCCAGTTACCACATTATTTAACCTTATTCTGAGATAAAGTCTACATACGAGATTGACTCTCGCATCTCCTGGAACTCATTCCAGTTCCCCACCGCGAGGGTTGCTCATTTACCGCAACCCCTTCCCCCCACCCTCTCCCCGCCTCTCCGTTACATTTAGTGAAATTTGTCAGTACTCTTTGCAGTACCCATAAACAGTTCGTAACGATTTCCCAGCTATTGCAATGATGCGCAGTTATACTTTGTAAACCAAAACCATAGTGAATCTTAAGAAGCCAATCAGAGCTCCATGTGAAAACAAAGAAACTGCCAAAAGCGCGGGAAAATGCGAGGGTCAAGGTCGCAATTGGTTTTAGTTTCGAATCTGATTGGTTGGGAAAGTGACACAAGTTTTTAGCCAATCACAAAGCAAGGTAAAGTAAAACTAAAGCGATCCTACACTACTCTCGACACTCAATTGAAATTTGCTGAACACACTTATCACTTCTTTTCAGGTCAGCAACGTGCCAGTCTCCAGCGTAAGTACTCGGAATCTTTTCCCTGAAATTTAGAAGTATATATATAGGGTCAAAGTCAGTATCCCCTACTTACCTACTTATGTCTAGAAATGCACGCAGAAACGAGAATGGCAGATTTGACGAAATTTCGCCAAACCGAGTGAATGTCAACAGATTTTCCGATTATAGCGAATTATAGTCAAATTCGTCAAAGTGGAACCAGCTTGGCGGAATCGACGATTTTGACGAATTTCCATTAAAGAGGAGGAGTGCAGTTGCTCAGATACTGACATTGATCCGTATGTAGCTTAGAAAACCAAATATCAGGAGATGGGAGTGATCCTAACAACAAGGGCAATCCTCATATATATATTTTTAGAGGGGCGGCTAGCAATCATGTGCAAAGTTTTACAACGCACGTGCAGAGTTAGTGTTCTGCTATTTTTTTTTTCTTCGTCATGTCCTCGTTGCTGTGTTCATTTTGACTTGAGTAAGGTCCCTATTAAATTTTGAGTGTACCTGACGTGTTGCTTAAATATTTTACTTATTTCAGCTCCTCATCCTTCTAAGAAATGCCAGCAGCAGTTTGGTCAACTTTGCGTCAAAGACAACCAACTGGCAAGCGAATTTCTCAACGGCCTGTTAAATCAGCTGAACTGGTCATTTTCAGAGTTTATTGGAATGTTGCAAGAGGTGGGCCAATTTCAAAATACCTCAGATTTAGGCTGCACAAGACACCAGATTGAGATATGCAGGGTTAAGCCTTAACTGGTGATCCTGTCTTGTTTTTTTTCTTTGGGGGGGCTGGGGGGAAGGGAGAAGGAAGAACTGTTGGGGGGGAAAGGGGGTTAACATGAATAGCATCCCACGGGGAATTGCAATATTCCCTAGTCGTTAATTTCCGCCGGTGTGGATCATACAACGAACAGCACGATACGATGCACCTCTCAGAAATTTTCTTTTTGTGTAAAACTTGGTCAAATACTTGCCTTTCTTGATTAATCAGATCCAACAAGCCACTCATCAAATGGAGACAGTTTTGGATTCACGACAACTGCGAACTTGTGCCGTGTGTTTTGATTTGACTGTTGGGTTAATGCGGGTAAGTGAAACACCCCTGTACTCCTACGCCCTCTTTTATACATATTCCAAGGTTTTTAATTTTTTTTTTCATTCTTATAGGAACAGAAATGAAATGAGCTTCTGATTATTCCAAAAAGTCAGTGTTCAAGTAATTATTTACCATATTCTTAAGTCAAGACGCTGCGATTTCTTTCTGTAGGTGTTGGAGATGGTTGCAACAGTTGCTCCGGAAGTCTTTACTGACTGGAAACGGCAGTCCGCAGAGCTACACATTGCACGGCTTTTTCAGGTATCACAGACTCAAAGACTATAAAAATAACTGATCCTGTGGGGTTTAATCCTCTGCAGTCTGGTATATAAAATCAAAGCCTCTTCGCAACCAAAGCTGATTGTGCGAACTCGATGGTGTGTATTTCTGCCCATCCAAAATATTTCATGGGCAATCTACGTCTTTGTTAAGTTCTATGATAATTTTCGACTAATTTGTGCTTCATTCTAAAAACTAATCAGTCCATAGGATACTGAACGAACATGTAACTCATTAGCTATTTGTATCCATGAACAGAAAACAAAAAAAAATGACCCTCTAATAAAGGCGTGTTCTTATGAAGAGCCCCCCTGCTACTTTTTATCCAAAGAAAGTCCTTCTTCGCTTATGTTCCTTTTCCCTCGATGTTGTTGAAAACTGCCATTAATAATTGTTTGCTTTTATGTTTCCAGCTGCTAACTCAGGTTCTGAATCGAGTGACGGCCAGTTCAAACCTCTTCGAGAATGTGACAAGACTTCATTTACCTGGTAACGTTATCAGCTGCTTTTGTTTTGAATTTAAGTTGCAATTCACTACTTTCCCATTCACTAGAACTGAATGGACGGAGAGCTAACTTATTCAATTCATTCGTTCAATCAATCATTCATTCATTTCTTTTTCCTCAGGACTAGAAACTGTCGACCGGTTTCCCATTCTCGGTGCTGTGACAGGAATCTTGCTGACGCTGTTGTTGGATGGCACAATTGAAAGGTGTGAATAGTTTTGACGAAGAATCAACGAACCAAACGCCTGGTTCTCAAAAATTCAATGCTTCAGATCTGTTCTCGTTGTTATTGCTTTCATTCTTTTCTTTTCTTTTCACCTAATTGTTAATGCTTTAGCCTTTGTTTATGGCTATTTTCATTTTTTTTTTGGTCTTTTTGTTGTTTTAATTGGTTACTTTTGCGTCTGTGGGAGATCAACGGGCTCTACCAATGATTATGTGCGATGAGAGCCGGGGGTGCTGTGTTTTAATTCTAAGCCCCTCACTCTCACAGCACTTCTTTTCATCTAAGATTACAGATGGGTACCAACGTATTTTCAGAGAAACCTGACAAAATCTTGGGGGGAGGGGTGGGTGGTTGGAATAGTGAAGAACCCACGATGGACCATCACCTGGTGGGGAATGTGCGGACACTTCGAGACTTCATGTTCGCTATGACATCATTGCGACTAGTTTAATTGTAAACAATTATAATACTTGTTACAATGTTTTGTTTTGACATTGGTTTTGAAGTTGCCCAGCATAGACGAAAGTGTCTTTTTCTGCAAGAGAGAGCGACCTCCTCCCTGTTGGCAGAACCCGGTTACAATCTGGACACCGTCTGCTTTTTGGTTGGAGGCAAATCAGTCGCTGTTGAAGCTACAAAACCAAAATTCTCCTTCAGAACAAGTACTGATAACAGCTACATATAATTTTCAACACTAATCTTTTTAACTTAATAATATATAAAAACTTGGTGATGGGAATGGAAAAATTAATCCGCTCATCCGCTAGTGGGTGTTTTTTAACCATTTAGCACCAAATTTCTTAACTAGCTCACCAAGAAATGTGCACTACATGGACTGGAGAATTGCTATGTAGAGGGGTTCGAGGTTAGCCAGAATTCACTTATGTCGGAATCGCAGTCGGATTCGTTGTCAGAAGCGCAGGCAGATACAATCCTGCGTAAATCGAGATTTTTATTTGGAGGCAGGTTAGCAATTTGTTGGAGTCGTAAGCCATCGATTTGCCAGAAAACTCTTTTTTTTCTTTGTGTAGTGATAAACAAAGATGTTACACCCGAGGAGGTTCAACGAGTCGATGATCTGGTATCACATCTTGAGAGTCAGGGCACAGAGTATGGGCTCCAAACACAGGTATTTTAGGCTTCTCGTGAAATCATAACAATCAAAGACCAACAACGAGAGAGACTTTCGAACAATGACTCGCCCGACGGCGACGTGAATGTTGTGTGCAATAGTCGATTATTTTCGCTGAGCCTGAGGAGAATGGTTGTTCGTTCATTCATAAATTCTCTTGTGATTATTAAAGCAATTGTATTTTCCTTTTACTTTTCATCAAAAAAATTAATTCTTGCTCAAATGTTTATTTATTACATGAATAAAAAAAAATCGCTCACTGGCCATTTTGAAGTAAGTGTGTCACTCAATTTAATATTATATATGATGTCATCTTCGACCAATCAGAGTGCGTGCTTCTCTACGTTAACTAATAATTCATCGTGGTTCGAAATTGAAGTGGTGGCCAAGACAGATGTAATATTTCTGTTAAAGTTAAAAAATTAGTGCGTTTTATTGTGCATATTGCCTGTTGGTCGAACCATTTTAAAATGTGTGTTGGTAAGTATTTGCCAGCTCACATTTGGTAAATATAAACCACATTCGTAGTAAAACTTGGCATCTTAGCACAATTTTGTCCCCTCTCTCCAGGAGTCCGTAGATGTTGACGACCTATGTCCTATTTGCTGTGCGGTCAAAGTTTCCGTCAGGTTCATCCCGTGTCTGCACGTGTCATGCAGGTGGGTATCATGTGGAAAGACAGGCATGTTATTTTGAAAAAGCCCCGAAACTTAAGAATTCTTTTCGATGAAAATGGAGTTTACTTTCTGTTTGCAGATCCTGTATCTCTCGCCATCTTATGAACAACAAGGAATGCTTCTTTTGCAAGCACATCGTTAACGAATTGGAGGATATCACCAGCGATGAGGCTGTCTAACAGTAGTGAAATGTAAAAATTGTAGAAAGAACGTTGCTGATGTTTAGTACTGAAATAAAGCTAGTTTTTGGTTTTGATATATGGATATATTATTAGGCTCGAAATTAAGGCCAGTCAACAGAAAATGTCCCGTTAAAGAAACGATTTTTCTGGTCAACTCCTAGGATGGCGGAACATTTTGTTCGATTGTTTACAAATTTAAAGAAGAATCCAATAGGTAAACAAACCCTTCAAGCGAAAGTCTCCCAGTCCACGAGGGTTTTGCAAAAGTGACATAAAAAGTGTATCACTATACCAAGATTGCCAGTTCCACTTGTGTCTAGTCTCCTTCGCAGCATTTGTTTCCTCTCGTCACACAATGTTCTCTCATGTGTTGCGTGACGAAACCAAACAACGGCTGTGAAAGAAACTTATGTACTCACGCATGTCATAAAATCCACGATTAACTCAGTAAACTTCTATTAACAAAAAAACAAAACAAAAGAAACCTTTTTCGCCTAAAAAAATCACAATAGTCCGAGAAATAAAATTTGACTCTCAAACAATCGACCGTTCGTTCACTTTGTCACTTTTCACGAGTAATACTTCAGTGATTCACACAAGGTATTGCAAAATCCTTCCCACATTTAACCAAGTACCCCGTATGTCTAGCATCATTTTTATGCGAATAAATTACGGAAGACTAGCCCAGTGCTGTGTAATAGCGAAAATAGAACACAAATCGATAAAATCGGACACTAGCCGGTGTTAATTAAGATCGAGACACTAATGTGTGTCTATATTTAGATTTTAGATACTAGTGTCTAAATTAATCGAAATTAATAGTCTTAATTTGGATTTAAGACACAAGGATCCGAACTAAAACACTGGTGTCCAAAATCGGACACTCAAGTCTAAATTCGACCAAAGTCGGCTACTAATATCCAAATCCAAAATCGGCCACTAGGGTCCAAAAAACAAAAACGGCCGCTTCTGTCCAAAATCCAAAATCGGCCACTAGCGTCCAAAATCCAAAGTCGGCCACTAGTGTCCAAAATCCAAAATCCAATTAATATTTATTTTACCTATTTTTTATCATCATTATTTTATTTATGTTTTTTGCGCCCCACTCACCCTGCAAAGACCAATACTACGCCCATTACTCCCGGTCGATAAAAAATAAGGTCTGGAAAGTTAGAATAACCTTAGAATGCGTTTAATTAACTGACTCTTCACTAACAGTTCACTGACTGGATGTCTTTTTTCGAAATTTCTAAAACTAGATCTACACTCTCTTACCGGGTCACCAGTAAGATTCACATTTTCAGCCCTTTTCCAGGACCTCAGTTCTTAAAACGAAGCGCGATAGAAGACGGAGCGATGGTAGCGCAGAAAAAAAAACCGGGGGGGGCTTGGGTCGGTACGCAGCTCGACTCAGATCTCCCTCGTTCACGCTCCGCCTTTACCATCGTACCGTTTACTATTTCGCTCCATATTAACAACTACACACCTGGAACAAGTTAATATTTAAAAAACCTCAATACCAACATATAGTTTAAAGAATTTTTCCATAGCTGCTGATTGCCTATTTACATAATGATTTTATTAAGGTCTGTGAGAGTCTGAGATGATTTGTAGTAATCTGTCCGCCATTGATATATACACCTCGTCTTTAACTATAATTGTCTTCCAAGTACTGATACCCTTCCATACGAACTCACAACAAGACATAAGTGAGAAGGTCATCACATGCAAACTCATAATAGAAAAAAATATAACTTGACTACTATCATTCCTGAAAGGCTGGCAGAGTGTGATAATTTTTGAAGAGGAGACATCTAATTCTCTTTACGATATCATCCTCGAAATCACACATTACGTCAATGAGAATGAAGAAAACGATCACCACTGAAAAAGCTATTGATTCAACAAATTATCCCTACAGCGCCTTAGAAATGTATAGAACAGATGGAGAATATGCATACTGATTTAGGGGTTGGGCGAACGGTAACCTTTTCAGGGCACTATAGTCAAGACAGAACCGAAAAAACCATAACGACCAATCAAAACAGAAGAAAAATCAAGCACAATGAGAGGAAGATTGGAAAACAGGCAAACCACTGAAGTAGAAAACGTGGTAACCGGAGTCAGCTTTGTTTTTTTGGTTTTTGTTTGCCCTGATTGGTTTGCAATGGACGAATCGTAGGGCGATATAAATCAACGCTAATGTAATTCTGGATTACTTTCGCCAGTCAGACAAAGATTTCTACAGCTTTTTACCTCCCCAACACCAGTTTTCTTTTAAAGTTCGTTTCCTGATCAGCAAATGTGTCAACATATCATTTAAAACCTACCCATTGTCCTACAACTGATTTCCAGCCGATAATGGCGGAGTGAATCCATGAGTGTGATCTAATGACAGCTTCTTGGAGAATAGTGCAACGTGAAAGACACGCTCCTGACATGAAGTTAAACGAGATATTTAGTTAGGTTAGGGGTAAGTGAAGCTTTACGTAAAAGAAGTGCAATTGCCTATGGCGGTTGACGAAGTTTACCGATTGAAAGTAGCACAGTTAGGGCACATGAAATTTGTATAACCCTTGAAAAATCAAGTCATTCGTGTCGTTTCAATTTTGATAAGTTTTTATCGTCTCTGTCATTATTTTTGATATCGTTGTACCGTAAAATTCCAGTACATCTTGAAGTTATTCTCATGAACCTGGCTTAAAAGTCAAACTACCCAAATCTAAAAGAGAATCACTGGCCCCTGCAGCCATGCAGTTTTATCACGCAGTCATGTGGTGTCACGCGATACTTTTCAACTCCTTTCTCCGAGAATGTCGCACGGTGCGACTGCTTGTGTGCAAAAATTTGCCTATTACTGTATGAAAAATTTCCTACCATCCTGAATGACAGCCCCTGGTCCAATGACTACATTTGGTCCTATTCGGCAGCCGTCTCCTATTTTAGCAGTGGGATCCTGAACCAAACAGAGAAATCAAAGAACAAGACTCTTAAACGCGCTACCTCCCAGAAGTGTTTAACATGAAACTTCTCCCTACAATATTTAATAAACAGGCGATGAGAGAACTCAAACGTATCAGGTAGAATTTTTTTCCTGATTTAACGCCAACTCTCAAAACTAATTTACAAGGAAATGTGGAGCAGCTAGAGGGGAGAATTAACAATCAGATCTTGGGAGTTAAAGGGTTAATATAGAGAATAACGGCTTCAAAAGTAATCAGAAGAGGATGGAAACATCACAAGATAACTCACCACTAAGACATTACCAATAATTCCTGGTCCTTCATGCAGACGGTTTGGGTGTTTTTCTCGCAAGAAGTGGAGGAACAATCCCATTCCAATCAGGAAATCTTTAGGTTGACCTACATCCATCCAAAAACCTGTCAAGACGAAAATGTTACTCAGAATTTAAGACAGAAGGAGGGGGGTTAGACGAAGGAGAAGGGGGGAAGAGGTGGGGGAGATGGAGCGAGAGGACGACGGTGTGGGGGGGAAAGGGATGAAATTTTATGAAGATGTCATTTTAAAAAAATATTTTCTGGCAGATCATGAATAATGGAGTGGTTAACAGGAAGAAAGGACTGTAACTCAATCATTACAACATTTGAAAATAGCTCACTGAAAGTACCTGGAAGGTCGAATGCAAATAGTTCATCCTCCTGCGCCATTTTTGGAAATATCTCTTTCTCAATTGACGTTGGTCTGAGCTACATGGAGTAAAGGAAATAAATCAAGACCACATTTAATTCATCCAATTGATTACGTGGAAAATGCTAAATAAATGTCATTCCTGTTTTGTCATTCTGACAAAGTTTTTAATAGATCAGTTTTTAAGAGAGTATCCAAACCAATCCAGGATTACATTGACCAAACTCAACTTTTTCTCTGTGATTAGTCCAGAAAACTCGCACAAAATTCTCGACCAATCTTGGTCAATTGCATTTTCCTGCGTTTCAAGCAGTCTGAGTTCTCATTGACTCGTAACCATAATTATAAACTTAGGTTATGAGTGGTTGTTGGGAATGCCAAGTGGCTTTGGTTTTTCAACGCTCTTTCAAAAACTGCTGTATCACATGCCTTTAACCCTCTAACTCCCATGAATGACCAAAGCAGAATTTCCCCTAACAATATCAATACAATATCAACCAGATAAGTGTTGAGAATAAAGAAAAATATCAATTTGGGCATAATTAGTTGATCAAATACTAAATTCTTTGAACTACCATCATAGGGGTTGTATAGTTGACAGCAAGGAGAATTCCACATTTGATCTGGGACTTATAGGGTTAAATGCGATTTTCCTGATGTAATCAGATACACAGCACATGCTTCCATCAGTCTTTGTCATTAGCAGTAACCATGTCTTGCGTCAAATTTTAGCACTATGCAAGCCTATTGAAGATGTGCTTTGATTTTTTTTTAACAATATTCTACGATTCGTTGAATCATCAGCCAACTTTCTGAATGAAAGTTATTTTATATTTCTACCTCTGAAATAATTTTTTGCTTTAACCCTCTACATCCTAACATCAGTATGCATATTCTCCATACTGCTCCCTATAAATCCCTATGGTGTTGACCAGGAGAATTTGTTTAATAACCAAAACCTTCTATAGTTGGTGATCATTTTCCTTTATTCTCACTCCCCGATCAAATTTGTAATTCTCCTTACTGTCAACCATACAATTCTTATAATGTTCGTTCAGAGAATTTAGTATTGGATCAACTAATTATCCCCAAATTAATATTTTTCTTTATTCTCATCACTAATCTGGTTGATATTGTATTGACATTGTAAGGAGAAATTCTGTTTTGGTCACTCATGGGAGTTAAAGGGTTAACAGTCACCTGTCCACCCTTCGATGAAATATCAGACATATCTGTTTGCGTTATAGACACATTATCTCACCTCAATTCTTGATAACATCTTTGGGTTAAATATGTACAAGCCAGCATTTATTTTGTTTGACACATAAACTTGTGGCTTTTCCACAAACTTGTCAATCCTTCCTGTTTTGGCGTCATAAACAACCACACCATATTTGGAAGGTTCTTCAACTTTAGTGACCTGTTTTTGTGAAAGATAAAATTAATCCAACTGCCCAATACATAGTGAATTTTGGCATTCTTTAATACACTGAATTAATATGAAGACTCTAAAAGATTCACATACTGAACAAAAATGGGGAAATGTTCTGGGAAAAAAAAAAAAGCGAAATGAAGTGTAATACCGGTAAGTCATAAGGCAAGTGGCCCAAGACCACGGGTATTTATCAAAGAGGCAAGTTTCTAAAGAAACCGTGGCACTGGGTTGGTGGGGGAATTTAAATTGGCCACTGTAAAGAGTTTTTTTAAAAAGCTGATGTTTCAAGAGTTAGGCCTTCCTCTGAGCAAATGACTAAAGGCTAACACTTGAAACATCAGCTTTTAAACTCTTTATGGTGGCCAATTAATGCTATCAACACAGTTGATAATATTAAATTACCCCGTTATACTAGTGTTTATCCCTGAGTGAAGGTCCCTATTGGGATGATAATTTAAGTTTTTCTCATCACTTTTCTGCTTGACATTGTATTGATATTGTACAGAGAAAAGTCTTGGTCACTCATGGGAGTTAAAGGGTCAATTTTCTTACCAATACACAACAAAAAAGTCCACCAACAAGTGTGTACAAATAATTTTCTTACAATTTCTTTTTCTCTTTTAAATCAAAGTATAACTTTTCTGTGATGAAAAAACTGACAGTTCAAATTCAAACAGATATCAGAACTTACCACTATTGTGCCCTCTTTTCCATGATCTCGGTGGAATTTTAACATTTGTTTAAAAGGGAAGTCACACACAACATCACTGTTTAACACAAAGAAAGGCTCCTCGTCAACTGTAAGGTGATCTCTAGCTAGAGCCAAGGGACCAGCTGAAAGAAAAAATTCTGATTAATTTTCTGCAAATTGTTGCATTTTCATTTTCAGAGAAATTTCACAGAGGTGATACCAGCGATTGTAAAGCCTTCCAGTCCCACAATGTCAATATTAATTCTTGTTACTGTATGCCATACAATTCTTTCAAAATTAGTGTTAGGAATTTGGTATTGGATCAACCAATAGATATTTTTCTTTATTCTAATCACATGTTTGCTTGATATTGCATTGATATCATAAGGAAAAATTCTGTCTTGAATCTGTGACTCATGGGAGTTAAAAAATTAATAAACAGTTCTCTACAGTGACCCTCAGAGATGTTTGACCACAAAATATTAACAGCACATTTAGTTAACTGGTTCTTTGTTTTTCTGTTCTTCTTTTTTCTTTCTATATCTTTTCATTTTTTTCTCTGTTTTTCTTTTCTTTTCCTTTTTTTCTAGCCTTTTCTTTTTTGTTTTTTGTTTTTTTCTGCCTTTTTTCCCCTTTTTCATTTTTTTCTTGTTTTGTTTTTTGTTTACTAGTTCTTTTGTTTTGTTTTTGGTGGTTAATTTGTCACAGTTTTTGTTTTTCTACTAATTTTAAAAATATCAGCAAACATTTTTTTTGTAGGTACACAACTAAGGAAAGCTGTTATATGGTGGACACTATCAGGTTAATCTTACCAGTTCCTAAAGGCTCTTTTTCTTGTGAAATTGTGATTGTAATTCCTAGCTGTAAAAAAGAAAAAAAAGGAAGAAAATACAGAAGCTTTAATTGAGAAACATTAAAAAAAAACTGCATTAGAGCCAATTTGACAGCAATAGCAAAATCATAAAAAGTGCTATATCCCATGTATGTGGTGGTGAGTTGCAAAACAGAAAAAAAAGGCAAAGAGGGGATTTCATTTATGATATGAGACAATACTTTTAAGTTAAGTCGGGCTGGACTGGAAAATGTTTGGCTCTTGGTCAATGATTAATGGCCAAATATTTTTCTTTCCAGCCCTTCCAATCAGTCAATAAGTCCATATCATGTAGGGGCCAAGAAACTCCTTCTTTTTGGCCTTTACAAATCTGGCGAACAAACTAGGTATTGTTTCCAGGGTCTTGCATCTAAAACAGAGTAACTCACTGTAATGCAAGTTTTAATTGGGGTTGGTTTTTTGAGATCTTAAACTGGGTTAGACCACCATGACTGCATGCCTGGTTATAATATTTGCTGTATATAATAGGACTTCTGTCTCCAAATCTACATGTAAGATGCAGCTCTGAGAAGTAAATATATCACAAAGCTTTCAATTTGTTTAGCATGGTGTAGTGAAATAAGCAGGTTTGTTTCAAACAGACAAGCTGTTTGAAACCTTCAGAGGGACATTACTGTCTAAACCTCTCTTAAACCCTTTAACTCCCAAGATCTGATCATCAATTCTCCCCTCTAGCTGTAACACATTTCTTCATAAATCAGTTATGAGAATTTAGTGTCAGATCAAGATAACAACTTTTGCATGATAAGTTGGAGTTTTCTCAATACCTGTTTGCAGGATAATGTATAAATATAATAGGGAGAAGTTCAATTCTCTGATAGAGCCAGTTTGAAGGACGATATATTAAAATTATGACAAGAAGTGACATGATATTCATCAAGAGTAAATATGTTCAGTTTTTATAACTGAGAATACACTGTTGACCTAAATGACAAAATTGCACAGGATTTTCAGTTCAAAGATGAGAAAGAAATCAGAGAGAAAGTGAGTGCACAATCAGAATGCATGTTTCTCTGAGAATCCCAATAAGAGATTTATTTAGGGATACAATGTTTTAACAAAGTATCTATTGTTTTTGATGTCAATGAATAAGGAATTTAACCTGAATTTGGTTCTTGAAGTGATTTCTCTTCAATCAAATAATATTCTAACGACTTTCAATTGAAAAGAAGGAACACAAAATAAGTACGATAGCTCGAGAAGTATTATTCCCTCCAAAAATATTCTAAGGGGCCCATATTCAAAGCAAAATTATACTTGAGAAAAATTCCCCAACACTCGATCAAATAAGAGATCAGTGTCATTTATGATGAATAATTTTATTCGTTGCGCATCTCATCCTTGAAAAATCAGCGTGGAACGAAATATTCGACGGTAATTTAAGCTACTCACTTAAAATCCCGTGATCTAGCCAACTCACCTCAGCTAAGGCTTCAACTTGATGCATTACCATTGGTTTGTTACAAAACTCGACTAATGGCTTGGGTTTTGACAACGTTAGCGGTCGAAGTCTTGTACCATATCCTCCTACGAGTATTAGAGCTTTCATTCTCTCAATCTAATCGACCGTTAAACGATCCTGGAACTAAAAAACATGAAAGGATGTAGAAAATGAGAATGTTAACCCCACGAAGCGCCTTGCAACGTGTCGAGCAGTTTCTTGTAAGAAGAGTTTATTCTTTGATCAGATTAGGTACAAAGATTGATCGAGAGTAAAGAAGGGGAATTGTGGATTTTATTTTATCTTACCGCATTGAATATAAGACTTATAGCCTAGGTTGAAAATTAGAGGTCTTTTTAAGGAATTTTGAGTTTTTTTCATTACGTATATATTAATTCATTTTAATGATTACAAGTCTAATTCTTTATAGTAATTGTGGGTTTGTCTACCGCTGACATACTATGCTGTCACGAAATGTCATTACCAAGGTAATTTGTAACGCGCAGGAAACATCTAGCAAAATAAATAAAACTATAAGCTTATTTTGAAAAAAAAATGAAAAATCATGATGAAACTGACAATTAAAATAGTCTGAAATGTTCGGGCGAGTTATTTTCTCCAGAGGTCCTTAATGAATCGAAGTACAATTGCTACGATCTGAAATCTCTTCGTATAAAGAGCAGTTTCAAAAGCTTCGACTAAGAATATTTAACATAAAAGACGATTGACCAAAAAATTGTTTTCTTTACGAGTTAAATAATTTATAATAGTCTGCGTAATCTGTTAAACTCACCATTTACTTCCTACTCCAAGCGGAAGTGACGACACGCAACGCTACGGTGACGTCACATCAATGGCCGGTCCCTTGAAGAACTGACACGGTTGTGTTCTTGGAGGAGTGATCAATTTCTGTTTTGTTATTTTCCTTCGAAACAATGTCTCATCAAACCGGCATTCAAGGTAAGTTTACAGGAAAAGTTTAAGGTTTCTTGATTTGTGGGAAAGCCAGGTTTTCTCGAAGGAATTCGTTAATTTCATTATTACATCGAGCTCCGCTTACTTCGATCTTAGACGTCGTGTCGATTTTTGCGGAAGATTTAAACTACGTAACGCGGCTTTAACTTATCAAAGGTTTTGCTAAAAAGGTCATGCAACAGGGTATTAACTGTGAATGGCAAAGATTGTTCCTGCTGTGAAATAGGTTTGATTGTGAATAGCAAAACAGAAACAACAAACTTGGTAGCTGCTGTGAATTGAGCTTAAAGGACAGAGATATTCAAGATATTGAGCGGAAATTTTCGCCAAGCTGTTTTGAATGATATAAATAGTATATTTGGATTAAGAAGTGATTTATACAGCCTCCCTCTCTTGATTTTTTGTTCAATGTTATTTGCATACTAGTTTGAAAGATTTTTCCGCGGCATGGATGGTATGCACTGAACAACTTGTTAAACCTTCAAACACAGGCAGAACCCCGTGCGATTAACTATCAATAACAGCGAGTTTTGTTACACACTCTCATTAAATTTATCAAACTGATAAATCTAAATTTATATGGAGGAACAAAAATCGGAGATACAAAAATTGATGAAACTACGGACTACTACACTGATTTATTTCCCTTTACACTTGTCTGACCCCTCCTCCCCCCCCCCCTTAAACAACATCTGTCAATAACGTCATTGTGAATTGAAGCAAATGTGTATTGTGTCAAGAGGTGGTAAATTGGAAGTAGTTTCCTTCAAATAGTTTCAGATAACGAATTTAACCTTGTGACCCTTATGAGTGATTAGCATCTAATTTCTCAGTACAATATCAACCCCAAATCACACCTTAGGGGTCAGGAGAAAAAAAGGAAGTGATCAATAACTGAGGAAGATCTTGATTGTTAAACAAATTCTCCTTAATGTATGAAGAATAGTATGGATGAATATGCATACTGATATTTGGATGTAAAGGGTTAAGTTTATAAAATATAACAGTGAGCCCAGTTTTATAAAGGGCGAATAATGCTATCCAACTGATAAATTGCTATCCAGCAGATAAGTGATTTCAAAACGTATAGTGTTATCCACCGGATAGAGATTTATCCAGTGGATAGTATTATCCCAACTTTGAACAACTGGGGCTTGTTTATTGATTTTGTTGCCAGTCATTAATAAAATAATGCTACGAACTTATTTTCAAGTGTGTGTTCAATTAGATCATTACAGTGATTTCTATCTTTTTTTCTGGGATTATTCAGAGATTTATTGCAAACCTAACAGTTTAGTTATAATATAATCTTACCCTGATTGTATTTTACACAGCAAATGAAGAACTGAAGGCCATCTTTGTAAGAGCCAAAATGGGAAAAATAAGAGTTATCAAAGTGGATATTCAGGATGGTGAGTAATTTTTTTGTAAATGTTTCATTTATGTTTTGAAATACTTACTGTGCCCGAGATTACATATTATACAAAAGCATTTTTATGGGTTTAAGTTACCCAAGACAACAAAAATTATAAGCTATACAGTTTCTTAAGATGGTACAACAATAGTGGTGCCCCAATTTTTGCAATAGTTCATAAAGAGAATTTGCTTTTATCAACTGAGTTGTTAGTGTAAGTTGGCCTCTGTAACAAATTTTTTAAGCTGAGATTTTGAGTTTTAGCCCCTTTTCAGAATGGAAAACAAATCCCTGCTATTGATGATACTAAAATTTAACCTTATAATACCCCTCACAGTCACAAGATGACAATTTCTTAACAAAGTTACCTTCTAGTTGATATGAGGATAGCAGAGAGTGATTAGTTCTTGCAGCACAAACAAGTTGATGAAATCGTGTTGCAGTGATTGCCTCTAAAATTTTGCTAAGCCTATTTCTTTATTCATTTTTTCTTGAAAATTGGAAGCAGACAAATGATAGAAAGAAAAAAGGCTATTGAAACATAGCTTCACCTTGGACAAGAGAATTCCCTATTTGGTCTTTCATGAGTGTGGAAAAAATTAACTGAAAAAAAATAGTTACCAAATAACAACCAAAATGATAGGGAAGCTGAACTTATGAAAAAAAAAAGAATTCTTTCATGATACACTCTTCATATTAGATACATACCTTTTTTCATAAAATGTATTAATTGCTTTATTGTATTGTTTTTTTTCTTTTTCCAGAGCAGTTACTTTGTACCAGTAGTAAGGAAGCTGATGGAGACTGGGAGAATGATATCCTTGAAATGTTAAAAGTCCACTGTGTTTTGATTTCAAAGACTGGTTGTTAAAATAGTTAACTGTTTTTTTTTTTTTTTTTTTTTTTTTTAAGAGAAAGAAAGCTGAGTCTGTCAAAGAATGTCTTAGGAAAGTAAACCCTTTACACCCTAATATCAGTATGCATATTCTCCTTACTGTTTTTCATACATTTTTTAAGTTGCTGATAAGGAGAATTTGTCTAACCATCAAGAGCTTCTCTGGTTGGTTTTCATTTGCTTTATTTTTGTCACCTTAATGTGTGATTCAGGGGTAATTTTGTGAAGAAAAATTAAAGGCTAGTTACTCTTAACCCTTTTACTTCTGTTGTTGACCAAGACAGAATTTCTCCTTATAATATCAGTACAATGTCAAGCAGACAAGTAATGAAAATAAAGAAAAATGTTAGTTACAATATTAAAAGTTGGTTCAATACCAAATTCTCCAAACTAACATCACAAGAACTGTGTGACAGACAGTAGGGAGAATCACTAATGAGATCTTGGGATTTAAAGAGTTAAGTGTGGGTCATAGGCACAATAATTTACTGTGTGACTGATTATGATCAAAATGATAATGATGGTTAAAATGATTATGTTAAGGGTGAGATTGGCTGGGTTAGCAGTAGTTAAAATCTGTACTCATTAGCTAAGTGGCCCAACCAGCAGGAGCCTATTGTGGTTCCTTAGAATGAAAAAACAATGAATATCACTACTTCCTGCTGGTCAGGTTTCAATCCCGGACCTTTTTGACTAGTAGTCCATGGCACTAGCCATTAGTCTGCCACATCTCCCTCAGAATAGCATCATAATCAATTATTGGATGAGGTTTTTGTGATATCCAGAATAATCTAGGTAGAGGAAGGGGTTATTAGCTAAAGCCTTTGGCTTCAGCTGATAACCCTTACTGAGACCTTGATTATTCTGGATATCACTAAAACTGAATCTATTAATTGTTTTATTATACATCAAACAACAACAAAAAAGAAAGTTACAATAGTAAGTGATACCGATAATTTATCTCTAAATGTGTAAAAACATATAAATCAGCAAGCAACACAAAGGGTGTGAACTTGACATGACTACATGAAAACATACACTCTTGAACTAATCCCCCAGAGAGGGCACTACTAATGATCTACTAATGATCTCTTAATAACATGCAGGTTGGGGTTGTCTGTTAATTGTTGCTTTCAAACATGTAACTGCTGGGTTTATGTTGGATTTACTGTTAGATTAAGCCTTTTTAACCTCATCTTTACAAATGCTATCACTTTTGTCATGCCACTGTAACCACAAGTTGAAATCACTTTGCGTAACGTTTACTTGAATAAATCCTTGACTGTTTTCACATTATGACAAATCAATTCTACCTCTGTTAGAAGAGAAAGAACCTTGCTATATCTTTTATCGATTGGACAGCCAAAATAACCAAGGCTATGAGTGGCTGTTCATCTTCTACTCTCCTGACTTTTCCAAGGTGAGCTAATTGCATTTCTAGAATTAGAATACTTGTTTGTGCATTGTTGCTAAGCACGGACTGCTGGCGAAATTTACCAGCTGGCTTTCTGGACAGCAATCACTAAGAAAAGCATAAAGGGCAATTTTGAGGTCAAGCATTTACAATCATTAATACTGAATGCTATTACCTTATTAAAAATAGTTTAATGTAGGTTGTTTCAAATGTTTGTGCCCTTTATTGAAAATCGAAAAAAATTGTTTTCCCAAATGTCTGGCCTAGTTAAACCTTGCAAGTTAATAATCCATGTTAATGTTTTTTATAATAGCCTGCATATCTCCCCTTGTGTTTTATGACATCTTTCAGACAACATGGCACTGAAAGAGCTAGCTATTTAGGGTAGTGGGGGAACTTTTTCTCCAAGCATGGCATTGCCACATTTTCAGCCTTCCCATTGTCTTAGTGTAAGTGAGCATCATGTAGCCAGATTTGAAAACCATGAAAGCTCTGCTGAACCACTTTATGCAGAGGTTAGCTGATGACTACAGTAGACAGAAATTTTCAAGCACAGATGACAAATTCTAGGTGTCAGTATTTGTTTTTATCTAACCTGATACCATTAAAAAAAATTGTATACTAGTCCCCAGTTTCATTTCTTAACCCAACACAACTAAGAAATGGCAGGCTGACTTTATATGTAACAACTGCATGTCTGTTATTCATGTAGCCTCAGCGGAAGATGTTGTTTGCCGGAACAAAAGCTACTCTGAAGCAGGAGTTCGGAGGAGGTCATATAAAAGATGAATTGTTTGGAACAAATCAAGTATGTAATATTCTGCAAAATTTTTAACCTACTCCCAAAATTTCAGTAGAAAATTCTCCTCACTGTCTGCCATACAAGTCTTTGGATGTTCGTTCAGAGAATTTGATATTTGATCAACTGCTTATCTAATAATTGATATATTTCTTTATTCTCACAACTTGTTTGCCTGATGTTGCATTGAAATTGTAAGGAGAAGTTTTCTCTTGGTCACACGTTAAAGGGTTGGGAGTGTGAATTGTGATCATTAGAAAGAACTTAACATTTACCCTTTACCCATGAGTGACCAAGAGATAATTTCTCCTTACAATATCAATACAATATTAAGTAAATGAGTGATGAGAATATGAAGGCATACATTATGTATCAACTAGAGGATTATTACTTGATCCAATAGCAAGTTCTTCACAGTAACATCACAAGAATTGCATGGCAGACAGTAAGGAGAATTACTAATGAGATCTTGGAAGTGAAAGTGTTAACGTTCGTGAGGTGATACTGAGTTGTATATCATCCGTTTTAAGTCTTTTGGCTCTGATGAGAACCTCTGCTCAGCTTGTTGAAGTGTTAGTTAACCCTTTAACGCCCAATAGTTTTCTGCACTATATCTGTCATACAGTTCTCATGATGTAAGTTTGGAGAATTTGGTATTAGATCAACTAATACTGTATTGATATTGCAGGGAGAAATTCTGTCTTGATCACTCATGGGAGTTAAAGGGTTAAATAATAATCCTGACAGCAGTTCTTTTTAAGACTACTCTTGCCCAATCACCCACATGCTGAGACTGCTCAATCAACTACCACTCAAGGATTAAAATAACAAAACAAAACAGCTCTATGGTGGTGTGATGTAATTCAAAATACAATAATAAAGAAAATATTATCAACCCTTTAGTGCCTTAGAGTCATAAGCTTCTAATTTTTCCCAACAGTCTTACCCCTGGGTCAAACATTAAGAGAATGAAGGATATGATTGAGAAGCTGTTGATTGTTAAACAAATTCTCCTTGTCAGAACCTTAGGAAATTTATGGAGAACAGTATGGAGAATCTGCACACTGATGTTAGAGTGTAAACAGTTAATTGCATTGGTTTAGTTTTATCAACTTCATGTGCAGTTGGACCATTCATTTTTTCACACAAAGAAAACCTGTTTGGGCACATCAGATGCTAATATTTCATAGACATGTGACTTTGATTTTTTTTCATCAGTTTTTGTTTTTGTATTTTTTTAGTCTGATGTTTCATTAAATGGATTCAAGAAACACAAAGCTCATGAAAGTGCCCCACCTCCACTGACTACCCAAGAGCTGGAACTTGAAATGGTGAAACAGCAAGAGGTAAGAGACCTGATGTCCTGGAATTTTGTTTTGAATGCAATTGGCCATGTTCTGAACTAGCATGGGACTTGAAATCTGGAAATTGAAAAGTTTTGTCACTGTATGGAGCTTTTAAAATGTGCATTGAGTACAGTGGCTAGATGTTTTTGTTATTTGCTAACTTGCAAAGGCAGGTGTGATACACACTTTTGGAAAGAAACAGTTTAAAGAGGGTTTTGTTTGGTTAGCTGTAAGGTATGGTGTACTTATTGTCAATGGATTCCAAATCATGATGTCTAAGCGCTGGAGATGGTCATCATCAGGTGTTTTGAACTAGACACAAAACCTTTTCACTCCTAGTAGTGACCAAGATGGTATTTCTCCTTACTGTTCCAAAACAGTTTCAGGCTGGAGATGGTCATCTTCAGGTGTTTTGAACTAGACACAACCTTTTCACTCCTAGTAGTGACCAAAATGGAATTTCTCCTAACAGTTCCCAAACAGTCTCATGCAGAATGGTGTAATGAGAAGATAAAAACAGATCAATTATCAGATACTCTATGAATTTACACCAAATTCTAAGATTTAAAATAATATGAAATGTATAGCAGACAGAGTATTTAGTTGAAACAGATTTCGGGAGCGACAGAGTTAACTCCTTCAGCGTCTCATTCCACCCGGGAGTTTTCAAATGAATACTGGCTGTTTACAAGTGGCTACCCGCGAGCTTGCCAGTGAGACCTTGCAAACTGAGGAAAGGTTAAACTTCGAACAGTTCTTCTTTTCGGCGAAGTCCGTCGCGTGAATCTAAAAAGATCCGCCAAAATATGACTTAAACTTACATTGCGGGACTGTGGGAGTGAGGCACCTTACTCCCTGAGTTCTGTGCACTTTCATGTTACCCATTTATTCTCCCAAGGAGAACATTAGATCTTGCCCTCAGTAGTACACCAGCTTTTCATTATCTTAAATGTCATGGTTCAAATGCGCTAACAAGGTTTCTTTTTCTTTTTTGTCCAATTACAGATGCGAGCAGACATCAGTGTAGACAGCAAACAGAGTCACATGACTGGTGTCCAGTTTCCAGTAACTGATGAGGCTCGGGCTAAACTGACGGAGCTCAAAAATAAAAAATTAAGCTTGGTCCAATTAGTAAGTTATACGTTATTACATAACTTCGGAAACAGAGTATCGTTAACGTTTTGTGTTTTTGTGATATTGTTTCAGCTTTTCGGGCCCGTGAAGTTACAAGGACGTGCTAAAAAGGGTCCCATTGCGAAAATGCATGCTTTAAAGATCAGGAGATAAGTAGTTTTAAAATTTAGTAATTAAAAATAAATCTCTTTTTTTTTTTTCAACAGGAACTTAACATAAAGAACGAAACAATTGTTCTTGCGGAAACCAAGGAGAACGTTGATGCCAACGATTTGGCACAAAATGTTCCTGAAGACAAAGGACGATATGTTTTCTATCTTTTTAAACACACCTTTGAAGGCGACTTCTTGGAATCCATAGGTAAGAAATTACCAATAACGTTGAGTAAATGAAGGGGGTGAGTTTCTTTCCACCGCGTCAGCGAGGGAGTATAAATGTAAATTGTTTATTGTAAGGATTTTCCAAAGCTGACATTTCAAGCTTTAGCCCTTTGCTCTGACGAAGGTCTAACGCTCGAAACGTCAGTTTTAGAAACTCTTTACGGCGGAAAATTTACTTTATCGACTCATTTGACAAGACCAAACGATTTAGCCATGATCGGAAATCAATAAAGTGCGTATGATCTGAATAGGAATGAATATGTCTGTCTCGGCGTAACAAGTTCTAGGGTATTCATAAACCTACGGACATCGAAGATAGCGTGGCTCACAGTTCTGTGAGTTCCTATAATTTGTTTACATAATTTCCCATGGCATCCAGACCGAAACGAGTTAAACCGCGGGACTTCACTCAGCCACGGGATTCAAAGTTCTGCCATGAAATCGAGGCGAGTAGTCCGTCAGTCCGAGATGGCGACCAAACCTTCAGAAAGAAGCGACGCGTACAATATGCGTTTCCCTTACGTCAGACGAAATATATTTAGGAAGATTACTTAGACCCTAGGTTGTGATCCTACAGCTGTCGCCCTTCACCGAAGTTGAAACTGAGAGCACTTTTCTTTTTCTGGTGTTGGGTTCAGTGTGTTCGTTGGTGAGACCTTCAACTCTTTCATCGCCTCTTTCGATCTACTTTGCAGTTTTTGTGTATTCAATGCCTGGATACAAATGCTCGATAAAGGATCGCATGTTATATTCTACATGTAAGGGCCCGCTGTTAGATGTAGCCGCATCTCTTGGTCTTGAAATCGAAAAGAAGGTGAGTATTTAGGGACGAGTCATTATTTTTTATAAGTTTATTTAAAGAAGGTATAATTCATATTAAGGCTAGACAAATGTTTAAGATTCCCCGATGACTTGACACCCAAGTTAGTTTAAGTATTTTTTAACTTTTATGCTTAGTTCACGCCCCTGCTGGAAACCAGCTTTTATAGTGTTGATGATAGGCTAGCGTGTCAGCGCTTGATTATTAGACGCCTTGAAAGGGGGAGGGGTGGGGTGGAATTTGGGGGGATCACGTGGTTTACAGGGGGAACATAGTGGGGTCAGTCGTCGCCAATAGCCAATAGCTTAGAAACGGAGGGAATTATAGAAAATTGTCTTCTAGTGACGGGGGACAGATCTGTGTGGGGGGGGAAGGGGAGGGAATCAGGTAAATATTAAATATCACGACACAACCAAAATTCTCCAAAGCGCCTCCCCCTCCCCCTCCCCTCCCCGACAATAATTAATGACCGGGTCCTTAACTGTCAGCACTGCCACCAAATTTTTTTACATCGCTTAATGTAACGCGCTCGTTGCCTCTTTAAATGTTTTTGCTTCTTTTTTGTTCCCATTTTCCCTTCCCGTCTTTGCCCTCACCTTTCTATCATTCCATTCATTGTGTTTCCCTAAAAATCTTTGTCCTTCTTTTCCTGCCTTCCAGCAGTTCCTTACATGTAGCTTTGTTTCTCAGATTGAAACGTCCGACCCTAAGGAACTGAACGAGGAGTTCTTACACGATCAACTTCACCCCCGTAAGGACTTGATCAGACAGAAGTTTGCCAAGCCTCCAAAACCAAGTGGAAGTCGCGGGCCAAGGAGAATCCACAAGGAAACGTCAAGCACGGAATAGTTTGTTCAGATTCCGATAGTTAAACGAATGTATTCGCGTTTCATATTTTGGTGAAAATTGCAAATTCTCGCGAATCAACCTAATGAAATTTATTATTTTCTATTATTTTGTTGTTGTTGTTGTTCAGAGTTGCAAGAACTTACCTGTGCAAGAAATTCCATTGTTCTTTCGTAGAAAAATTAATCTTTCGTTATGTAGTATATGTCACAGTTTGCTTTACCGTAATATATTCAGAGTGATTTTGAATCAGTCAGAATAGCTATTGCGTTTAGAGAGGTGTTCAGCTGACGACAAGTATTGCCTTTCATATTGCCCCCGTGAAGTGAATTTTTTAACGCTTTTTTTACACCTTAGCATTTATATTCGTATTCCTCACGCCGTTGTCTTTACACATCTTGTGGCAATGAACTTTTTTGACAATCAAGAGCTTCTTAAGTTGATGACCATTTCCTTTATACTCGCGACTTTTATATTTGATTAACGGTTGATACTTTAAGGAGAAATTTGAAGCCAGTCATTCGTAGGGGTAAATGTTGAGCTTGAATGTTGAAACTCGAATTTATGTTGGTGATGTAATTTTTTCTACGGAATTATCAATGACATCTTTCTTGCTTAGAGTTCTAAGAACGTCCGTTTTTAATTCCCAAACTCTTCTTCTCGTCCGTTAGGGTAACTAGCGTAGATCTGATCCGCAGAGTTCGCGTGTTCTTAAATTAGTGGAAATTGTTGAAGAATTCGTGTTCCTTTTCGTAGATAAGCTTAACTTTCTTGGAACTTGGATGAAGAATGTTATAATTTGTGTTGAAACTACCTCAGCTTCACTTATTCACTGCAATGAGCTGTAAATTGTTTGGAATTTTAGATGTTTTTGAAATAAAGTGAGCCCGTCTCGAGTAGATGTGTTTGGAGGTGATACATCGCCAAATGGCACAAATCGCGTTATCGCGGGGAAAACGCAAACTGGGATTAACGTTGGAGTGCGTGACTCGTTTTAGACAGAGGCAAGAATTTAACCCTTTGCAACCGCCGAAAAAAACATCGAACATTGTGCAAACGGGGAAAAACATACAATTAGCTGCAAAAGAGGAGAAATATATGGCCACTTGGGACCCAGAATTGATGGAATGCGTAACTCGTTGCAAATGTGGGAGAGCATCTGACGTGGAAAAGACATCTAACCTATTACAACTGAGCGAAACCATGGTTTCGTACTCAGTCGTTTCGTACCCAGCTCGGTCGTTTAAAACACCCAAATCAACAAGAGATAACAAATAGTGTTGAAGAAAATATTCGAATATCCTTCTAAATTAAGGTTTTTTTTCCTACTTGAAATTTTGTGGGAATAGAAGTGGCCCGTTGGAAATGCTTGGAAATATTGAATTTTTGAATCATTTGCCTAAACTAACGCGGGAAAACAAGTGGAACGCGTGAAACCTTGAGAAAACGCGGGAAACATATTTATGCTAACGCAGAAAACCATATCAAAGGGCACATCAATCAATCAATCAATCAATCCGACTATATTTATCGAGGGTAGCACGGGACAGTTACAATACTGATAAACTTGTGGCCCTCTTTCATCAGATATGTCCTTTGTATATACTAAAAATATCATATATATATATATATATATATAAACGTGCCCTAAATTAATATTATGTAAAATATAATTGTAGCGATATAACATTGATAAAGATTAAAAAAGAGAAAAATTGAAAACAATTCAAAAAAGTGAAAGAAAATGGTAATACTAATTTACTTTAAAATGACGAATGTCCCTATTCAATCAGGCATTTTCGTAGATCTGAATTTGAATTTGACATTTTAATTTTGTCTTTAACACTGGTTGGGAAATGAATTCCAAAGTTTTTTACTACTTACTGAGAACGTCCTGCCACCCTCAGTTTCCCTTTTAAATCTCTTACAGACAAGGTTCCCTTCTCCGTATCGACTTTTGCTATGATGTATATCTGAATTCTTTGTAATTAAACTGTTCATATATTGAGGGTAATCACCTACCAGGCACTTATGAATGAGTGAACACTTATTTATTTTGCATGGAGGCCATCTTAATTAATAGAGAAGCTTAACACTATTGTCCCTGGTGTCTGCGTTTAATAGAACACGAGCTGCGCGTTTTGTTGCCTTAGGACTTTGGTGAGATTATTCACAGAACAGGAAGTTCATTAGAAGAGCCAGACATCATTACTTGCTTGATAAATGAGTTGTAGTATAAGATCCTTTGCTCGACATCGACAGCTAACACCTAATAAACAGTTCATAGGAGAAAATTCTGGATGGGTATAATATCTAGTTCAATGACCCTTATGAAAGTTTTGCAAGCAGTAAAGATATAAAAAACTTTTAAAAGTGCATTTCCGGTAAAGATAAAAATCAGAAACGAGTGCGAGAAGAATGGCCTTCGTACGGAAAGCATGTTTTTTCGACGAGTCGTAAGAAAACGAGGAGAAAAGATAGACATCTATAAATTCATGAGATAAACATTTTATTGAAACGCTCTTGCGAAGTTCCTCTTGTTCATTCAAGGCGTTTACTCGAATTAACAAATTTATTGGTAAGTTCATTGTTAATGAACCAAGAGGAAATAAAACATTTATAAGCATTCTCATAAACATGTACAGTGTTTGGTTTGTTTGGTATTTTAGGAACGATGGATTGCAGTTATCAGGAAGTTTTTTATTTTGTTGTCTGTGTAGCTTTTTTAGTTCACTATAGTAACTTTTTTTAATATTTTGCTTAAAAATTTAAGTCCATTTGATCATTTTTTTCACGTGGAGTGTTAGCGAACAAATACAAAACCAAAGTACAAAATGAGAGAAGTCGATCGCTCACAATTTCATGAGAGTCAAACTTACGAATTCACATTTTTAACTTCCTTTGAAAACGTTCGTGCGCCAAAAGAAAAACAAAACATCCAATTTGTTTTCTCCCCTCATTTAAATCGAGTCACGTTTTTCCCGTTGGGATATATATATATATATTTTTTTGAGTATTCCTTTTCCTTAAATGTTATGTAAACGCCATGATCTAATGATGTCTTCGGTGGGTCTCATGCTTAGGAGCGATTTTTCAGGAAGCCACTAGAATATTCACCTTTTTTGTTGTCCTAAAAGCCTATTAAAAACGCATTTAAGCGGTGTGAATATGAGACGTTAAGTGTCCCTCAAGGAAGTTAAACAGCTGCAGCTTTAGATTTGCTCACGCTGTTTGTCCCAAGGGCCTGATCAGGGCACGATTTGTGACAACTGCACTTTCCGGATGAACATTTTTCATCGTGAAAAATGACCTGGATTCTGTCACAAGCTTTTCTGGTGGCACCAGCAAAAGGGAGGAATTCGTTATTTGTCGTGCCTACTCAAACTTTTTAAAGGAAAATTAGCGGAACACGTCTGCTACACTCCTGTTTGTTTTGAGTGACATGAATCGATCAAATCTCGCCTGGAGCATGCGCCACTCGCGGTTTTATGAAGGCGGGAAGTTTAATGGTTTGTGATTAATGGCGCAAACTGAGTCTGGAGGAAAAAATAGTGTTCTCTTTTGGCAGCTATTCCCAGCAAGTTTCGAATTGTTCACATGTGAAGTTTGAAATGTAGTAAAACTAGAAAACGTTCTCGAGTTTTTAGAGATTGGTAACTAAGGTAAAATGATTGACACGTTGCAGTTATAAGGCATCGTGGCCATGGTAACACGTTATTAACTATCCAAGATCATTAAATGGTAAATAACCCAATGCAATTTTCTTTTTAAATCAAAGGTTTTCCTTCGCACTTGTACAAATATTGTAGCTATAAATATGTCATATTTTAATCAAATTCTGCATTAGAGAAACAGCGGGTTACCATTTTTCTTGAGTCTATTTTTGGTTGACATTTATTTCGCCACACCCTCCATTATTTTTTACTTTTATTTGGAATTCATTATCAATTGTATTTCGAGGAATTCATCCTATTGGAGTTACAGCTCATAGTAGGAGTTTAGCGTTTTCTGAGAGAAGTTTCTTTTCAATTTTGGGGTTACAAACTTGAAAAGTCAGTGATGTAACCTCTATTTTTTTTCCCTTTTTCTTTTCGCTTGTGAACCCTAAGTCGACTCCTGGCAGACATGATTTGAAAGGAAACTTCTCCTCACAGTTTTTAAGGATTTTCAGCAGAGAAATGATGAGAATTTAGATACTTATCAGCGCGAGATGATATCTCGATGTAGCCTCATATTCTTTTAATTTATTTATCAGAAATTGTTCGGTATCCAGATAGGAGAATAAGCTTAGAGGGTCTCATTCGGATTAACCGTTGGCCGTAAGAAAGGGATAAATATTTTGCCGTTAGGCGAAAAATTTGACAAATTTCAACCGTCACTTGGAAGAGGAGTTAACCGTCAAATTGTTCCTTTACGTCGCAAGGAAAAAGAAATAACCGTTACCTGTAAAATGGCCTAAATTGTAACCGTTAGCCGGTAAAAGCCATCACTCATTCAAACCCTCTCTAAAGGCTTAATATAAAATCAAAAATAAAACACTGGTGGAAATAAATGCCCAGAAGTTTTTCACAGGAACGAATTTTGTTTGCAGCGTTTTGCTTTGAGATAAGGCATCTGCTTTATTTGCATACGTTGTGATTCAAATAAGTCGTTGGCTAAAATAACTTCGCTTAGTCTTGGGTGTGTCAAAATACGATTTTCAAGCAAAGACAAAGACGAAAATTAAACCAAGAAAGCATTGCATATGGAGTTGCAAAATTGAAGCCCAATTTTCACACACTCTCATTGAAAAATATGACCAAAAAAATATATATAAAAACTTGTCCACAAATACAAGTTTAGTTACATGAGGTACTGTTACATAACAAAAAAGTATTTAAATGCATCAGATCAATTATGCCATTAAGATAATTGGCAAGCCTGCCAAGAGTAATTCATCACAGTACAATACCATTTTTTTTTTTCATTTTTTTAAAAATATATATTAAATCAGCGCCCACAAGGTAAAGTTCCTTAAAACGTGCCGATTTCATACTGGTGAAATTAAGTTATCATGTCATAGAAATTTCAGAGGTTGCGAAATTTTCATTAGGAGCACATTTCTTTTAAACTACTCTCGTAGTGAAAAGGCGAACACGAAAAGCAATCTAACTTCTTCAGAACGAAGGGCTTACAAAAGGCATTAGCCTGTGAAATAGTTTTTCTACGATGTAGGTGAAAAAACCTCTGTTTCACCGGAATTGTGAATGACAAGGATATTTTTTTTTTCGTCCGGACGTGAAATGAAATAGGTTTGTTTAGCTGCTTGCAAATTGCTAGAGATCTTATTTCGCTCTTCCCTTCTTAGAAATAGTGAGTAAATAAACTTTCATTTATTTCTAGTCAGTAAATAAACTTCAATTTAAAGCTGCTTTCCTTTTGTCACAAGGCCTAACTTCAAGAAAATGTTATTATGCTTAGCCCTAAAAACTGAAGTAGCTATTGCACTGAATTAGTAAAGTTTTGAGCATTTCAGTGGAGTTTCGCCAGTAATACCTGAATCCTCTCTTGAAATGGGTGGCGAACCTTGAAACACCGGAATTTTTCTGACGAAAAACCTTTTACTCAGGTGGTTATTGTTAAAGAATTAAATTATAGGTGACGGAAAATTTGATGTATAACGCCACTAACTAAGTTTTTTTTTCTTTTTTCCAATGAAAGATGGTTTCCCTGCATGAGAAACACTCGCAAAAAAAACAAGTTCTTTCAAAAATCTTCTACGAGTTATAAGCAACCATTTTAAATTCATGAACTTATATTAATTTTCAGCTGTTACACCTTGACAGTTACTATAACTCCAAGCCGGGCTAACAAAAAATTGAATTGCCTCGCCAGAATTTTAAGTGATAAAGAAATTCACAAACCTAGAACTGATTGAAGTTTTTTAAGTGACAGTTTTCGCATCTGTGATTCAAAGTTATGTTATTTTATGGAAAAATAGAATGAGTTGCGTTGAAAGAAATAAATATACATACATATATATATCTCTGGGTTGCCACTTTTCCTAAAGATAGATTTAAACAGGGTAATCGAAAAAAGGAGCGATCGATTTTGAGGATGCATCTAATTGTTTATCACGAAGTAAAAATTTTTCTTTATTCCAAAGTGTAACTTGGTGGCTAACATTTCAATACTTCCTTCAGCGAAATTCACCTTTTTTTTTCCCATGAAAGCCTGTTTGTTTTCAGATAATTTCAAACGTGATTTTCGCGATGAGAAATTTTCGCAACTGCAACTGCTTGCTCCGTGGAGCTTCTCAGAAACTCTGTGGGTTAGAAATCAGCTGGAAATCGTCAAGCCTTTAGCTGTTCGATTCTAAATGGATTTTCGTTATATCCGTATTTTGTATTAGATTTCCTTTCTGCTCACTAAGGGCTGTTTAATCGATGTTATACCTTCTGGAAACATCTGCCACAGACATTAGCACGAATAGAGTAAGTGATGTTGTGAGACTTAGTTGCTGCATGCATGTACACGTGAACTATACTTCCTTCGGGGTCAACTGGAACGTGTGATTATGCTGTGATATATGACCATCCGGTTTAAATAGACAAAAAGTTGAAAACAACGCTACATTCGATGGTTTGATGACAGAGCGGGGGCGAGTCAAGTCATATATAAAGAGGACGCCAGCTCGAAAGTGATATAAAGTCATCTTCAAGTGAAAGGGTTCCTAAAAGACTCCCTCGATTGTCGCTGATCATTCAAAATGAAATCATTCCTGCTCTGTACAATAGTTTTTACTTCTCTTCTACCAATATCTTTTGCACAGGTAAGTTTATTAGTTTCTTATTTTATTTTCTTGTAGGAGTAAATTTCTTTTTAATTTTTTTATCTGAGTTGCTATGAAAGAAATTAATTCTGCACCACAGTATTGCTTTTAAACAGTCTAAAACTCTCTCTGATTGAAAATGTCTAATTTTTTGGTTTTCTGAAGAGGCTAAGTCTCATTTTCCCATGAATTTCCATTTGAACGTTTTCCCTTTACAATGTTTGAGTTTATGACAAGTAACACCAACAACGAAAAACATCTGTTTTCATTTCTTTTAGACAAGAATTATTGAAACTTTATTATTTGCAATTTTGAATCGGAAAGAACTACATTACCAGAATAATTTTAAATCCGAAAAGAAGATTTCTCGGTGATGATGAAATGGAGAGGAATTTTGTTAATGTAATAAATTTAGCAATGTCGGTTAACTCATATTAGTCGTGAACAGCGTGAGGCGGCTATTAATAAAAGCGAATATACTATCAAGATTAAAAACTTGCGTTTGGCTCCAAAGAAAACATACTCTTATACCGGAGTTGACTGCGTGGTTATTTTATGGCAAGTTGCGACACAGGGATTCTCTTTTTTGGTATTTTTGTATTTGAGTAATCTGCAGTCATGTAATAGTTTGTCAATCGTCTTCTATCGAGCTTTGCCTGCTTTCAGTGAATTTGCAAAACTATTAAATTTGACCTAATTTCTCAGATCAATTTTGATATATGCCTGAGACAAGCGAGAATATTAAACGTCTACTCTCAAGGGTTTGCAGTCATCCTACTTGCCATTATGCTAAAATCTTCCCAAGGTCTTGAATATAGTTTCTATTTTCGTCGCAGAGTGGTCGTGTAGAAATAAAACATCTTTTTAAGCCCACACGAAGCGCTGTCCTGCGTTGTGATGTCGAGCGGAAACGCTGTTTAATGCGCAACTGGTGGTGAGTCGTGGATTGTTCAAAATGGATATTTCTCTATAGCAAAGGCGATCCACCTATTGGGAAAACTCTCTTATCGCTAAACATGATATAGTTGAGGTATTTTCGTTTCGAATTTCAATTTGCCACACCTTTCTGACCTTCAAATCTCTTTGTTATTCTAATGCCAGTAGATGCTTAAGATTCATTTTTTTTATGTAATTGGCAAAATTTAGTCAATGTTGTCAATGTATATCAATTTCCTTTTTAACGATCAGTTCCTGCGTCAACTAAAGATCCAATTCTCTTAATTCAAAATTCTTTATTTGAGTACAACGATATGGAAAATATCAAAATATACGAAAGATTGGGAATGTATTTTTGTGCAAGAAAGATATACAAGTGAATACATTTCAGGGGTGTTTTCAAGTCACAACTCGGCAAGCCAAAATTAATAACTCGGTCTTTCCAAAATACTCTTGACAAATCGATAATTTTTCAGTTGTTGATTAATGAATTTCTTTTTTAAGAAGACATTACTCGAGCACAGTTTTGCTTTTATAACATAAGAATTGCTATGATCAATCATTCGACTTGAAAATACATGACCCCCGGTAATACTATATCCAAATATTGGGTACCTTTTAAATGTTTGAAAGACGAGACAATATTTTTGTGTATGTTTTATTTTTAAATAATCTTTACCTCATTATAGTTATCAAGGTTATTTTTACTCAGGAATGTCTAAAACAGATTTCAGCGTGCATGACAGTTCGCTTTGATTGTACCATGATAGATTGATTCCACCATAGATTAATTAGTGTTAAGTATCTGTGGTAAAAATACCTAACTATGTTGTTTTGTCACAACCAGTTTTTCTCATGTTGAGCGTAGTATTTCAATACTTTCCTGTCACGACCACGCAGTTCTAGAAGATAACAGGAAGACTGATAGAAATTATGGCATGCCACGCCGAGACTGGAAATTTTTGTGGGGCATGTTGCTTATAAGAAGGTTGGCTCTGACCACTGAATGATTATTTTGATTTGTTAAAAGTGTATGCGAGTATCAACATCTTGTAGAACTGGTTTTAGCGTGGTGCATTGAAAGCAATACTGAACGAAGAAATACAAACAGTAGCAATAAATTTGAGGCAAACATTTGTTTTTAGCTCCTGGCTTGTGTTTCTAAACTTTCTTTCTCATGAACAAACTGATCTTGGTTTTTGAACAGAAAAATTATTTTCCGAAATATCTCTAGCTTTACATACAGACTTTCTTATTACTAATAAAGGTTACTCATTTCTACTTCTGTCAAACTGAATTGGCCGATGAAAATGTAGCATTTCTCTTTATAGTCAACATGTACTCTCTAATATTTCCCCAATCAAATTTATTTGAGGGAGCGACCCATTCAAGATTCTACAAAATTTCTTTCGAAATGGGAGAATATTGTTTTCCTTCAACACAAAACAGGCAAACATCGAATATTAGGTAAGATAGGCACAGATACTTTGTCGAAGGTCAATTAAACCTTTACATGAAGTCGGGGAGCACGTTCTATAAAAGACAAAAACCTCGTTGAAGACAGACCAAACTTAGCAATATCGTCTTGTTGAACATGTGGGTTGATTAGATCGAGATGTTAAATGTTTGGCAATAGTGCAAGATAAAGGAGAAATTTAAGGCTTAAGGTTTAATGGAACCTCCCACCTTCCGTTTACACTGTCTGATGTCTTAACACACAAAAGCCTCGCAGATCTATTTAGTGATTAAGGTCTTAAATTTGGTTCAAATGTGAAAAGCATTTTTGTTACCGTGGGAATCAGCAATGGAGGAACTGTCCTTGGCGTAAATAGAATGAAACAGATGGTCAATTTTGGGGTCAGTGTTTGAATAAAGAGAAACCCGCTAATCGTATATTTACAGGAAATTATACGAGTTTACCGGCAAACATCGAACAAAAGGATAAAATTGAGAATGCATCTTTTTAAATTTTCGCACGATAACAATTCTCAAAGCAATATACTCAAAAAAGAAACAATAACGAGAAACCAAAGAAATATTGAATTGAGAAGCGGACTATTAAGAAAGATTGAACTGACATACTTCGTAGCCATGGAAACCGACTCTGTAACACAATCTCTAGCACTATGTTAAATGTAGCAAAACTAATAACTGATCTGATGTACCAGATAAGCTATGACGTTGTACAAAAGCGTCAAAAATTATAACAGGATCCACAAATATTCGCTTATCTCAGTTGACTTCTCTGGGCCAATTATTTCTTCAAATTGATTTGCAGCTGCTCTATTCCTCCTCATCTAAAAACACATAATCAAATTAAATTTGCAAGAAAATTTGGAATTGCTTCCTTTACAGAAACGTGACAAAATTCAGTGAAGTTAGGTTTCACTTCGAAACGCGATAACACAACATCACGGAAGTTAGGTTTTAGCGTGATATGTTCGTGTCTTGTGATTAAAAAAATTGCGAAATGTTATTTTCGTTCTATAGTTTTAGAGCAATTTTCAAATTAGCGTTGTAAAGGATCTGTGGTTTAGATTTACCTCCCTCTGTCATTAGTCCATAAAACTTGCGTCACCATATCTAAAGATTAGATAAAAGACTACACCATTTGTAACTTGGCCGCATTTGCTGGCGCGCAGGGCGAAGACTTCGCCCGAAGTATATCAAGCAGAGTGTGGCGTTTGACATAAGAAATAATTTGTCAATTGTTTCTCCTGTTCATCACCATAAGCGATTAGCCACAGTGATTGCTCTCCGCGGTTTCTTTCATGAGGAGAGAATTTCAACGAACGCGTCACGTGATTGCATGTTTTGACGTAATGCAACAGGGTCGAGTCGCTCTACAAACGTGATCTGAATTTTATTGAAAATAGTATATTAAGGCACATTTGCTTCCTGTACTTCAAGTAATATGCTTGCATGTTTCTTTGAGCTCCCATTGCCTCTTTGAGGTATTTTTCTTTATTCTGATCGGTCCATGATGTTATTATGTTTTGGGTTTTACCACATTGAGTGGAAAAGAGATCACCCTCGAGATTTGATTCAGTTCCGATGATTCAGTTCGGATGAGTGATGCTAAGCGAGTTTGCTTAAAAATTGTGAGTCTTTAAGTCGAGACAAAAAGCAAGGTCCTACCAGTCCCGTGGAACTCGAACAGTGCATTTAGAAATCTCTCTTTGAAAGAGAGCTAGGCTGCTAACATCTTAAGCTTTGCAAGCAGGACCTTCAGGGTGATACTCAACGAATTGTCTTGAAAATATCGAAAGGTATCAAATAAATAACTTGGCCGAAACGACAAGGCACATCACGCAGCCCTGAATAAACATTTTTTTTGTATTGTGTCTCTTTTCTTTTTATCTTAGAAATTGTTTGTCAAATGTTCCAACCATAGTGATTGTAGTCCTAAACAGTGCTGCGCTGGATTATCGTCCACAATGAAGGGAACTTGTCTCCATCAACCACAGCTAAAAGAACCGTGCAATCCATATCTGAAGGTTGGTGTGGATAATAAATGATATATAATGGCCGGCTTTCAGTCATTAGTCAACGCCCGCAAGGGTGGAAGGGAAGGTAAGGGGGAAGGAAAACAGGGGATGGCGGGAAAATCATTCGTCGCGAACGGAGTACATCCATAAAGGGGCAAATATAGAAAATTGACTGCCAATTAACTGCCAATGAGTGGGGATCTTAAAAATAATACAGCTCCTTCCGAGAGGATTAGGTAAATTTTATCCTGACGCAAAATCCCCCACCCCTCCCCCCAGGGGATAAAAAGTGCCGTGTCCCTGACTTAAGATGCCATAAGAGGTAACTCAATTTCAAAACTAAAAGGCGGACCTCCCATCAAAAGATGCTCTTAATTAATTGCTCACAAACAGAATTCTTGATGTTATCATCTGATATCCTGTTAGCCTGTGAGCTAACTCTCATCGGTACTTTGGCAAGAGTGGCACGCACACTCAAGCGCGCGCACTAAAGGCGCCGAGCGAAGTGGCCGTGCGAGACGTGCTAAAGGACTTACTAGTCCCACAGGCGACAGAAGCAGGACAAATATAAAGATCATTGAAGTGTGAATGTCTTCCTGTTAAACAAAAAAAAACAGTTAGATTACGACCTCGGGCTAATATTTTCCGACACGTTCCTCTCACTCGGTTAGTAAGAAGTTATTTTTATTGTAAGAGGCTTTTTCATATAGGAATCATTCACATTCACATTCTTTTCCTTCTTATCACGATTTAGCCCGGTTCGTTGACGGAGTGTCCTTGTCGACTTGGCATGGTTTGTCTCCCGCGAAAAGACGGTTACTCCCGATGCCAGCACATCTCACCTAACCCAGACGAGATCGATGAAAGCAGAATACAGCCTTGAGACGTGTTCACTAGGAAGCAAAAATAGATCAACAATAAAATTAATTATATGTAAATGCAGTAATTGTGATGGTGATTGATAGTCATCTTTATCCAAACTATTTCTCAGAAATTCTCTGCTTCTTTTTAATTTTTACGTCTTTTTTAGTTTTATTAAACTTCTTTTTTGTCTCCTTTTGCTGATCTCTTATTTGTTTGGTGGATTATGGCCGAATTAATGAAACAACCCTTATCAGATATTCACCCATGAAATACGATAGATTCATCCTGTCCGCAGGGTCTGATACACGCTTTTAAGACGACAACAGATGGTTTTGAGAGTCTTAATGGGGCTCACCACCGGCCTTAAAACGGCAACAAAAATTTTACCTGTTTGTCGTAAAAAAAAATTGATTCTTTTAATCGCAAAGGAAAGAAATTAACCGTTAGCCGTAAAGTGGCCACAATTTTTAAAAGACCCTTCGTTTATATAAAACATCAGTATTTCATGGAAGATAATGCTCTTACTGCACACAAATGCTTTAATGTGTAAAACTATGTTGATGTTCATGGTGAATGTTGAGATTTACTTTGATTTATGTCCTAATTCCAAGAATTTTGCATAAACTGGTTTGAAACCTCTGATTTAGCGAACGGGGAAGGGCTAGGGTGCAAATCATCTCCCCTTTCTCATTATGCACCCGCGATCAAACTTTAAAATTCATAACTTGTGCGCATGCTCAAGCTCCAAGTCGCGAAAAAAAGATTTTAATACACTCCATTACTTATGACTTCGTGACGACCTCGTTACGTCGCAACGACGACGCCCTCAGAGAGTCTGGGTTCTAATTTCTCCTCACAATATCAGCCTTGAATCAAATGTAAAAGTAATAAGGAAAATGGAAACGATCATCAATTTAAGAAGCTCCCAACTGGCAAACAAATTTTCCTTGTCATTACCGTAGGAAATACAGAGAGAACAGTGCAATGGTAGGCTGCAAAAGGTTAATTTGAAGAAAAATATTTTTTTAAAATTTCATTACATTTAAGGTTAAATCAAGGCGTTATTGGCCATGTACACTGAACGTTTAAGTTTATTTTATTATTTCCATCAAATTCTATCCACGCCGAAGAGTATAAATAATTCTGTCAGTGTACGTTTCTTCATCCAAAGTTCTCGAAACACTTAAACCTTAATTAATTTAAACTTAAACAAAGTTATTATCACCGTCCTTTGACACCTAAGGAAAAAAAAAGACAAACAAAACATTAGGCAAGGAGTAAACGTGACGTCTTGTTTCAGCACTTTGTAATCACATGTCATCTGTGATCTATTACCGAACTGACGCAGGGTAACATGAAATCTCTTTGTTAAATAGCTCTGTTTTAATTGCTTGCTATATATGATGGACGAGTGTGTATATATGACGTCATCATCAGCAACATTTTGCTTCTTTATCGCATAAAACAAAATAAACTCCATGACACCGTGTTCAGTGATAGATCACATAAGACGTCTGAATGTGGTTGAAACATCAGCGTCGCACTCAACTGCACCTCGTATGCCAGTTTTTCCTCGGTTTGACGTCATATGTGATATACTACTGAAATGATACGCTGGAGCATAAAATATATTTGTAAAATATTTACATCTTTCGATAATTAAAAACTATCCATCGAATGGCAGCCAGGTGGACTATCAGACATGGTTTATAGATTTAATGAATGTAACCGAGAAGTGACAATTCATAGACCCAACGTTTCGACACCCTTGTCTAGCGCCTTCATCAGGGGTGATCTAATCGCTACAACAAGAGGTTATTTCATATTCTCATTAATTATCTGCCCTTTTTTCTGACGAGGTGTAAATAAGCGTTATGTAGTAAGCCGCCATCATTACGATTTAAAGGAGCGTGGGCGGAGTTGATATGCCAGGCCTCCAAACAAAGGCGCTGGAGGTAACGTCGATAAGTGGTATTCATCACTACTAATGGTATTCATCGCTAGCCACCGGCTCAAAGGTGAATAGTAGTTTTGTTATACTAAAACAGTGAGCTAGTATAGCTAAAAAATATGTTAGTCACCTATGAGTAACTCGGAAATCCTGAGCGAGTTACAGAGAGCCCTGACCTTTGTTGTAAACATTAGGTACACATATGTGGAATTCCTCATCACATGTCTGACCATAGTCACACTCATAGTTATTGAAGCATTCTTTTAAATAAAATCCATTGCCAGCATTCAGCTCGAAGTCTGAATAAGGGAAAGCAAAATAAAAAAATTGTTGCTTGTAGAAATTTAAATCAATGCTGAGGTAGATACGGACACAAAATTTAAGTGAGGTCTGTAGGCGCAAGAATTTGTATTACCATTTTTTGTTAGTGTTGATGTTTCATAGTTTCGTGTTAGGTGTTTATTTTCTCGTCTTCCATTAGTGTCCTTTGTCAGTTACCAGTTTTGTACTTGTTATATTTATTTGCATATCGTATATATATTGGTTGCGCGTAATTTATTTGGTTAGTTGTCTAGTTTGTGAAAATTACCGTTACATATCTAGCTCTGAGTTTCATGTTTTCGTCTTTGGTTTGGTCACATTCGTCTTGTAAGTATCCTTGTTTATTTCGCTTTGTCGTTTTCCAGTACTTTCACTCATACGATGTAAGTTATTTTATGCTCATTCGCGTGATTGTAATTTTGTCATTTTCAGTTACCGTATTCAACAATGTGTCAAGTTTGTTCTAGTAAAGATTGAAATACGAGTGATTAGCGTTTGCGGCTATATTTTGTAAAAGACGAATCTGGTTTATTGGAAGTTTATGTCGATGTCTCGCAAAGGTTCTGATGTCTACCTGTCTTATTCGGCCGGGAAGAACGGCCAACCTGCCGAAAACGGTCCACGTGCTCGTAAACCGAATACCTCTTTGGATCAAGAAGGAATCTCTCTTGAACGCATTCGTGAACTCAGAAAGCGGAGAGGAGGAGTGTTGTCTTCGTTAACGTCCAAGCGTCGAGAGATCGATAGTCTTTTGGCCTAATAATCTTCAACCACCTGCAGGCTTCAGAGGTTTATCAGTCTGCCACTGGAACATCCAACGACTGACTGACACCAAATTGGAAGAACTATCGCTAATGCTCACCTCGAATAACAACAGTGCTGCTAAACTCGACGTCTTAATTCTCACTGAGACGTTCGGATCAAGTAAAATTCCAAACAGCTATTACATGATACCCGGCTACACATTACACAGAAAAGATCGAATCGGGAAGAAAGGTGGCGGCATATTTGCGTATGTAAATGAGAAAGTTATGGCTTTACGTCGAAGAGATTTGGAACTGGATGATCTTGAAACTCTCTGGCTTCAAATTTGTCCTCATAAATCAAAGAGACCGATTTTGATATCTGGTGTTTACCGTCCACCTTCAGCCAACAAAAGATTATAATGAGAGCTTGGGTAAAAATATTGAAAATGCCCATCTCCAAAACAATGAATTGATTATTCTGGGAGACTTTAATTTGGATTATATTGATTTCAACTGTTATTCAAAACATTGTCTCGCAAAGGCACTGAACAGTCTTGGACTAACGCAGATGGTAAATGGGGTAACAAGACCTGCCTCTGATGCGTGCTTAGACCATATTTATTCTAGTCATCCTGCTAGAATTAGAGAAGTATCCATAGGTAAATCTGGACTTTCCGATCACCTTCCGGTCACCATCTTGAGGTGCTACAAAACCATGGATGCACAACGTAAACAACATTCCAAAATCAAATACAGAAATATCGACAAAATCAACAAAGAGTGCTTTCTGCGAGACCTCAGAGAAGCCCCTTGGGATATCTCCTTTGTTTTTCGAGATGCCGATGACATTGTTGAATCTTGGTACAAAATCTTTAATGACATTCTTGATAATCACGCACCTTTAAAGTCCAAGAGTGTGAAGAAAATCAATCAGCCAAAATGGTTCACTAATGATCTATACAACGAAATAAATAAACGCGATAATCTTCTAAAGAGGGCCAGGAGAACACAAAATAAGCAAGATTGGTCTGCTTTTAAACTGGTTAAAAACAAAGTGACGAGGAAACTAAGAAATGCGAAGGAACAGTACTTTAAAAACTCAGTTCAGTAAAAATCAAAAATGTCCAAAGAAACTTTGGTCTTTAATTAAAGACCTATCTAAAAGATACAAAGAATAACGACGACTCCGTCCCTATTGCTGACGAAAACAACAACTTGATAAAGGATGACCATTCAATCGCTGAACGCTTTAACCGCTTCTTCGTTGATGTATATAAACGTCTCATAAAGTCGACACCTGTACTTCATTATGATGCTCTTCCTGGTCCACCAGACAAATCTAACAGTCAAATTGAAAATCTTATTCCGCAAATAACTCCTAGTGAGGTTAACGATTATCTTCTAAGTATACCTACACACAAAGCCACGGGAATCGATGGGCTTGGTGCCAGAGTTCTAAGGATTGCAGCTCCTGAAATATCATGCTCCATAGCTAAAATTATAAATCACTGTATTGAAACTTGTACATTTCCCTCACAATGGAAAATAGCAAAGGTTAAACCTCTTTTCAAGAATCAAGGAAACAAGCAAGATATTCAAAACTATCGTCCTATTAGCATTTTGCCTATTCTTTCTAAAGTCTTTGAAAGACACATCTTCAATGCTGTGAACACCTACTTAACAGAAAATTCACTTTTATACCGCTTCCAATCAGGGTTCCGTAAAACCACTCCACGGATACTGCTTTGTTGTTTCTTCTGGACCAAGTCCTTCTTGACCTTGATAAGAACAACGTCAGCGGCTTAGTTTTTGTGGACTATAGCAAGGCATTCGACTTGATCAATCATGACATTCTCCTGATAAAGTTAAGATCATATAGATTTCCAGATAATGTTGTAAAGCTATTGCAGAGCTATCTACTCAATCGCAAACAGTGTGTTACTGTAAATAACTCGACTTCGTCACAACTTACGCTAACCAATGGAGTTCCTCAAGGTAGCATATTAGGACCTCTACTGTTTTTAATTTTCGTCAATGATCTTCCCGAAGCTGTTGGATCGGACTCAACTATTC